TTGAGATATATCTCTAAAATATTTTAATGTTTAGTTAAAATAAAGTGCATCTGAAGATATATTTCTAAATACTAAAAATATTATAGAAAATTTGCATGGTGTCTAATAAGCCGTAGGATGCTTTAAAAAAATCTCTTCGAATATTTTATCTATATATGACTTTACAAGATAGATTAAGAGAATAGTTTGAAACTTATAATTTGAAAAATAGGAGTCTATTATCTAAATTTTTTAGGTCAACGTACTCTTTTACTTTTTCACCTTAGTTTGTCTTTTAGTTAATAATACTATTAGGGATACAGATGAGTGCTGAAAAAATTTTAAAAATAAAATATAAAATAAAGACTTCAAACTATGATCTTTAATTTTAGATCTCATAATTAACAAGAAAAAAGAATTTACAGGGCAGGCCCAAGGTGGGAAAGGCAGGCTAGACCCTTGTTTTGGGCCTTTAATCTCCTTATCATATAAAAAACGAAAAACTTACTTTAAGTGTAAAATTATGAGAGATGACCAAAACTATTTAAATTTAAAATAAGAAAACTAAAAAATTTTAAATTTAAAATATGGAGACCCATTTCATAAATAAAATAAAAGAATCAAAAAATGTTTTATGCCACATTCTTTTTTAATAATATTTAATTAATTACATGTAAAAATATTATTAATTTTAATTTAACAAATAATTAATTTAATTCACATATTAATTCATATAACTAAGTTAATAAAATTGTTTCCGTAAATTAAATTAATTATCTATTCAAGTATAAATTTTAAATATTGCTTTATAAATAACTAAAATAAAATTTAATTAATCATGATTAACTGGTTTTTAAAATCTTTTTATACTTTGAATGTATTTCATTTAAATTATTAAATTATATCAATTATATTTTTATACATAATTAATTAAGTGTTGTATAGTGTAATAAATGCATAATTGGCCATAAAACACATGCCTAGTTTATAAAAAAAATTATATAAAATTAAGGATCTACATGGTGGGTCGATGAAGTTGGGCTATCTGTAAAATTAAGAGTGAGATTTACATGTGAGAATTTCTTACCTCACTCCTGGGATTTTTTTACGCACCATGTGCGTTTTTAAAAATGCCTCTTTGTTTTCGGAGATGTATCTCTAAACACATTTTTTTAGTTTTTTATTTTATTTCGTAGATGCATTTACAAAAGACTTCCTTATTCATATTTACGGAAAAAACCCAGAAACAGAATTCTATAAAATCAACATTGCAACAATAAAAAACATTCATAAAATAAAATCGGCGTTACGTTGATGATTTTGGCAGAAATTTAAATATTGTATTTCAATAGTCCGTTGTACGCCTGCACATCTCTAAGATGTCATCCACCGTTTTTCGGATCTTCGCCTCCAACTTGAGCGGAATCTTCTCTTGAAAACCGATATACGTTCGCCACATCACTCTAACGTCGTCTTGATTCTTGAGCTCAAACTTGTTGTAAACAATGTTCCCTTCGTTGTCAACTGAAGATGAAAGATACTCACGCTTCACAATCTTTCGTTTATCATTTTAAGGTAGGCGATATTGGATCTCGTCTATGACATCGGCGAGAGGGGTGAGATCCAAGAGGTTGAAGGTCCTCCCGAGTGTTTTGTCGTCGGAAGGGGTGACACTTGTAAAAATTATATATATATTGTGTGTGAAAATTAAAAGTCATTATATTGGATTAGATTTTTTTTAAGAAAAAATATTTATGTTTTTTCCGTGAAAAAAAGTGAAACACATCACACACGTTTACAGGTGGATCCATCTACATATAAATAAATAACAAAACTAGAAAAACACAGAAAGAGAGATCGTAACTTCAAACTTAAACCAAGCAGCAGTGACCTCAATCACCTCAATCATGCATGCCAAAATTATTATAAATGATATTGTAATGAAAACTAATCATATAAATTAAATTATTTGACACTGTAATGAAAACTCATCGGATGCCAAAAAAAAACCTTCTCAATACATGACAAAGTTTTTTTTCTACATCAAATTCTCTCTTAAAAAACTTCAAGTAAGTTTCAACAATTTCTTCCTCTGAAAAGTTTGTGTAGTATCTCTTTTCCACATAAATACCTTCTTTCTTTGCAAGGTCTTTAATTTCTTGTTGCACTCTTTAGATCCAACGAATTTATTTTCAAAAATTAGTAATAAACAATTTTACAGATTGAATATAAAAAGAATGAATTATAAAATTTATATCAACAAAAAAATATTCTGATAATTTCAATATCAGTTGAATAAATCAGAAAATTAACCGAGTGGCTTAATTTTCTGATATGTCATTGCTAGTGATGACAATGTCATCAACATACACAAGCAAATAAATCATCTCCTAGCAAAATTGGTGCAACAGATAGAATGATCAACTTTATTCAGTGTCGTGCCAAATCATTGAGGTATGTTGTTGAATTAACTAAACCAAGCCCTAAAGATTAATTATATATGCAAGGATTAGTGAAGACAAAAAAACATGGCCATCAAGAATGCAAAGAAGAAAGTCAATGATGATTCATAATTGTGGAAAAGTGACATACGTTTTCCAATATTATATATAACAACATAAAAGTACCTTTCTCCACCAATTCCTTGCACTTTGATCCCCTTGAACAAACTTGAGAGAAACAATGAACATACAGTCATTGGTTTCTAAATCAATATGTTTGAAGCAGCTGCCAAACGTTTACCTTATATTGCAAAGTCAGAACACATGAGTTAAAGTTTGTAAGCTCAGAAAGTATAGAATTTGAAAAGGCCATTGATTTCTACATATGTTCTGAAAGTGACATCTTTGTACCTTCAATTCTTGGAGGAGTATTCTATGAAAGTGTTGTTGGGATGAGAAACCCTAAAAAAAAATCTCTTCCATCTTGAAAAGGATACGAATGATACAAAAAAACACATAAAAACCAAATACTCAATATTTATACAAAAAAACAATCAAAATTAAAATACATAAATATAAATGAGATTCAATTTTGGAAGAAAAACATAAGATAAAAAAAACCTTAAAACACCATGTTCATTACCACCATGAAACACCAGCAGTAGTAGCAGCTATTCTTAAAACCACAAAAACCTCAAAACCCAGTAGAAAATCCTTGACGAGAAGAAGAAAAACTCTTAGATCAGAAAGGAGACGGAGGAAGAAGAAACTAACCTGAGTGTTGGTAATACGAATGGAACGTCCAATCTAAATTTGAAAAAAACATAATCAACGTATCAATGAAGGAAACAACAAACCACAGAATATCGATGCAAATGAAACAGATATACATGAAATTCAAATCCTAGAAGACAAGATGAATAACCACATTCATAACCTGGATCATAACCGCGAAGATGATAATAAGAAAAATGTGAAGAAAAATATCATAAGAAACAAATAGCTAATGGAAAGCAATATAAAACCTAAAAAAGTTAAATTCAGAAGCAACATGCATCCTCATCAGCAGGATATGCAAGGTAGAGACAAAGGAATAGAATGTGGTACAGAAAAGGAAGATGATTAATGGAAGAAAAATGATTTTAAAAAGAGATTTTTCTTGTTGATTGAGATTGTGAGAGTGAAGGGCGGAGCTAGGGTGGGAGAGGGAGGGTTTAAGTTTTAAGTAGAGAGACAGAGAGAGAAGATGATAGTATTGAGATAAGATTGAATTTGAAGGAAAAAAAAAAGAAAAATAATAATAATAATAATAATAATTTTGAAAAAAGAGAAAAATGAAGGAATGTACTATGTCACGTGCTCAATGGTGGTGTATGAAGTGTTGAAACATAATATTTGGTATATTGTAATTGAATAGGAGAATGAATAAATGGTAACATTAGTTGATTACATAAATGTCCTTTTAGTAATGTAACTAAAAATGATTGAAAGGGCAAATATGAAAATGAATGCAATTGAATTTTGAAGGGTTTAGTATTAAGGATACATGAATTTATAGTTTGGTCTCTTCAATCTAATCTGATCTACTATTTTCACAATGGTCATATCATAATTAATAAACCATTTCTAGAAGTAAAAAAACAATTTTTAATACTAAATTTGTCAACATACATAATTTCTTTTATTATATCTATAATGTATATATTTCGGCCCGTGAGAACACAAAAAATGATTATATTTAATTTTATAAAAATTTATTTGATTAAATATCAAATTTAAATTTTAAAAAAGATTTATGCAGTAGAATTTGACATGTTAATTAAGTTTTCCATTAAATATAAGTTAATTTAAGTTACGGTAGAATTAGATTGTAGCTTTAAACATTTATGTCAACCTAAAATTGAAAAGAGAAGATGCAGTAGTGACGCTAATTTCACAAATGGGTAAGTTTGGAGCAATCAAGTAGGTCTCTTGTTGCAAAGAAAAAAATAAAAAGAAAATTTAACTTTAAATTTAGACTTCATAATTAACAAGAAAAAAGAAATTACAGGTGGGTTAGCCAGGCTAGGAACTTGCTCTGGGCCTCAAGTCTTCTTTATTTTTTTTTCTTTTAGAAATTTAGGCCTCCCAAAAAAACAAATTTAGTATTAACTACTGCCTTAACGAATTAATTTTTAATACTGTGAAGATACGTTTTTTAAAAAGTTTAGCAACGAAAAATACTTAACCATACAGAATCGTTCTCAATTTTGTATTTAACTAATTTTATTAGTCCCTAAATAACAATACAATGATACTTTTCCACTGTTCTAAAATTAATTAAAACAATACTTTAAAAATTTATAACAATAATTAACCAAACATCTGCAAGATTCAATAACCGCAGTAATTTAAAAATCCATATGACGAAACTACCAGTCACAAAAATTTAAGATACATAAGATCTTTCACCAATTCATACTAATTAAAATACGACCAAAACTGAGCAACAAAACTACTAGAAATAAATTAAAAGGCATAAGTTATAGGTTTTCAACTCGGAACAGAAGACAAGTTTTCAGCAATCCAAAAAGCCAATCTCTAGTCGTCGGCAAAAGTAGTCTTCTTTCCTGAAAAAAGAAGTTGAAATAATCATCAGAAAATGAAAATCGTGACAGAATGCATAATACGGTGATTTTGCCCATGGTTCTGCAAGCAGACTAGAGTACGAATTTACTACGTAGGCTTTTGAATAGACACTTATGATAAAATCAGGTTATCAAAAATGTAGAGAAAATTTTTTAACTGCAGAAACAGTCATTAGAAATAAATAATAATGAGGAGCAATTATTATCGGTGAAATTAAAATTTATGGTCGACAGTTTATAGGCAACAGAGATGTTTGTTAATAATATGGAACTGCGGGAGAGACATTAAAAACATAGTAAATCCCCACAGATAGACAAAAAATATACCTGTGCCTTCTGGAGCAAGGCTAGGTTTATTGCCAAAACGACCACCACGACCCCCACGACCCCCCCTTCTACCTCCATTACTCCTGTCACCAAATCGACCTCCTCTGCCGCCACTGTCACCAAATCGACCTCCTCTGCCGCCACTGTCACCAAATCGACCTCCTCTGCGACCACCCCTGTCTCCAAATCGACCTCCTCTGCCACCAGAACTTTGACTATCTCTAGGTTTGGCTTCATCCACTGACAAAGAATACCCATCAAGTTCGCTTTCATGGAGTTCTAGAGCTTTGTTAAAGCTGTCTGAATCTTTAAAGTCCATATATGCAAACCTGTAAATATGTTGAATAAGCCAGGATTGAAAAGTGACTTCTAGTAAACAGACTGTAATCAGTGAGTTTTCAGTAAACATTATATGATACACAGTAGAGCATGCCAATCAAATTTCTGATATAAAAATATACCCCTTTACATAGCCAGAATCATAATCTTTTGGGATTGACACCCTTGAAGCCTGCCCGCAAGAAGCAAAGTGTTGCTCCAACTTAGCTCTAATCTGTGAGTATATAACAAAAGATGTCAAAGATAAAACACACAATGGACATAATCATAATAAACTTGACAAAATAGAAGAATAAAATTACCTCATCCTCCCCAAGAGATTTATCAAAACCCCTGACAAATACAGTTTGGGACTGGCCTTTACCACTGTTTGGGGCAGAGTAGTTGCTGCCGTTATTTAAAAAATATGTTATAATGAAATTAGTGCAAACGACACAAATGAAATATAATGAAATTAGTGCAAACGACACAAATGAAATGAAATAAAATGAAAACTTGTATATGAATGAGTTACCTGTTACTATTTGGAGTATAAGCACCCCTTTCCCGAGCTAAATCAAGTCGGACACCTCTTTCCAACAATTCTTGCCCATTCAACGCAAGTGCCTTTAATAATAAACAAGATAATTATGAGTAACACATAAATCTAGAGGGTATTCTGATGACATCAATAACAGTTCTCATCAATTACACAAATTAGACAAAATATTAAAGCATACACTTTGGGCTGCCTCTGCGGTCGCAAACTCAACATGTCCAAAGCCTTTAAACCTCCCATCCTCATCTGAAGCAAGTCGGACATCAACAACTTCTCCGCATTCTTGAAAGAAATTTTCACTGGATAATTCAAAGTTAGATAGTTCTTATAGAGCAAGATAACCAACCATCGCAATTGAGAAAAAAATAATTACATGTCTGATCGCTCAACACGGAATGACAGGTTCCCAACAAATAAGGTCTTTGAACCTCCATTTTCACTTGGTGTAGCTGGTGTAGCAGGCTGCAAAGTTTAATAACCAAGTCATTCCCATTCTTAATATAAACTATTTCTATTTCAAGAAAAAAGCAGATATCAATAAATTACAGCTTTCTTTGAAGATTTGTCAGCATCAATCATCTCCACATCCTTGGTCTGTTTCAGCACAGGTAAGAATCATTACAACAAAAAAAACATAAACAATCCAGACATAAAAACCAAGAGATCAAACAACAAGCTAACCTTTGTCTGAGGTGTTTTGGATGGTTCATCCTCACTCTCCTCGTCACTGTCACTATCCTCGGAATCATCACTGCTATCCTTGTCAACATTCATCTTATCCTGTCAATTGCACGCAAGTGTATAATTAACATGATTCAAAAACACAGCATCACTAAAAATATGTACATGCTACAAAATTGGCATAGGTCAAAATCAAAAAATTCCTAAGTTTCACTAACCTCTTTCTTAGCAACAGTCACTGCCTTCTTGTTTCCATTAGAAGCATTGGAAGTTTTCTGAGGTATTTATAAATAACACAAGCATTAAACTACTTTTCATATAAGTGAGCAAGACACATAATTGCAAAGATTATAAAACAAGTATATTAACAAAAAAGGCAATCAAGTAAAATTTTACATTGTCTTCATCAGAGCTGCTCTCCTCTTCATCGCTGCTATCTTCATCATCATCTTCCGTCTTTTTAGCAACAGCAGCAACAGCAGGCTTGGTATCCTATTAAAGGATAGAAATTAGATATTCCAAAATTATTGCCATTCGAGCTTAAACCAGTTTGTATGACACCTTTCCACTAGAAGGATGCAAATGTTACTACTTGTTTTCCTTTTGTAGAAAGGTTAATACCTTGTCATCATCAGAATCAGACTCCTCCTCTGAGCTATCAGAGTCAGAGCTTTTAGCTGGCTTCTTTGCAGCAGCAGGCTTCACAGCAGCAGGGACAGCCTTAGCTTTGGGTGCCTGAATATATAGGTTATGGTAAGAAGAGCATAACAGGTAATACAGTCAACAATAAACATCAAATACTTATTAGGAAGACCAATTATTTCATGGTTTAACAATAAACATCAAATACTAATTAGGAAGCACCAATTATTTCATGGTTGACACTAAAGATACTACTCACTTCTTCATCAGAGGAAGATTCATCATCAGACTCTTCATCAGAAGAACTAGCAGCTTTCTTTGCTGGGGCACTCCCATTTTTAGCAGGAACAGATTTTGGGGCAGGAGCAGGTTTCTGAATCGTGAAAAATGTCAATTAAATTGCTAAATACACAGGATATATCATACAATTAATTTAAAAGTGTCTGCATACCTCATCTTCAGATGAATCTTCATCAGATTCATCATCTGATTCATCAGAACTTTCCACCTTCTTAGGTGCCTGCTTAGGCTTGACAGCAACCTCAGCTTTCACCGGCTTCTTAGCACTAGCATCATCCTCATCTGAAGACTCATCATCAGACTCAGACTCTGAAGAACTAGAAGCAGGCTTGGCTTTCTTAGCATTCCCGTTCTTAGCTGGTGCCTTTTTGACGGGAGCAGCAGGTTTTGCAACGGGTTTCTGAGACAAAAAAAATAGCATACCCTTAAGTAAACAGCATATCAATAACCAAACAATTACATGATCATAGAAATATATACCTCGTCCTCAGATTCAGAGGATTCTTCCTCTGAACTACTTTCCTCCTTAGCTTTCTGAACCACAGCTTCCTTCTTTTGCTTAGCAACAACCTCCTCTACCTTTTGTTTCTTAGCACTCACTTTTTTGATTTCTTCCTCAGCCTGCCTCTTGCCTACACCAAATTCAAAACAATTCAACAGAAAATCAAGATCAGAACACCAAATCAACTAAAAACATTCAAATTTCAAAAAATCAGTCATACCAATCAACAACTCTATTAACAACAAATACTTGTAGTATAGTTTATATCACAAAACAAAGAAGCGAGTTTCAAAAATCAAATGAAATTAAAAAGTCATGAATCAAAATATTAATCAACCCCAAAACAACACAGAACAGTAAAGCGGCTGCAAAATTATACGAACGATTGTTACCTTTCTTTCCAGACTTTGCTGGTGAAACGACAACGGGAGCAGCATCAACCTTCAAACACAACATAAAGAAAAAAAAGACGATAAGCAACTACAATAATCGAAATAATTCTGAAAGGAGAGGACAAGAGATTGAAATCACGCATACCTTGGTGGCGGATTTCTTGCTTGACTTGCCCATCTGAAGAGAAATTGGTCGAAGCTGCGGAAGCTATTCAAAACCCTACGGCTGAGAGAATTAGGGTTTTGGGAATAGCTGAGAGTGAGGAGATTTATGAAAGTGAACGGCTGAGCTAGCTTTTATATACGAATGGAGGTTTCACTCAATATCGCTACTAAGTTTTATGGGTTAGGGTTTTGGGCTTTTGGTACACGTGTCCAATGAAGCTGTGCGTTTTGGTATTAGGTTTGCCCAAAGATATTTTTCTCTCTCATCTCATCTAGTACTTTTGAAGATTCGTTTCACAAACAATATTGAAAAAATATTTGTTTAATTAAAAAAAGAAAAATGTTATTTCTACACCCTTTTTTACACCCAATACTTACACCGTATGCACTATTCACCGTATTTATACGGTGAACAGTGTTCTTTTTATTAAAATAATATATTTTTTTAAAATATTATTTTTTTTAAAAAAAATATTTATTTTTAAAATTTATTTTATAACACAAATATAAGATTGCGCATTAACCAACTTCACAGGTGCATTAACCACAAAAATCTACATTATTAGCCAATTATTTTACCTATAATTTATTAACCACTTTCACTACTTCATTAACCAATAAAATACACACTATTAACCATGTTCTGAGAAATTTGTTCAAGTATTTGTGAACAGTAATTGAGGTGTAAGGTGTAGAAATGGGTGTCAACATAGCAATGCTGTTAAAAAAAAATATCCTTAAACTTTTTACAAGAAAAATCTCTAATTTTTTTAATGAAAGAAGAAGACATTTTTTCTTTCAAATTTTATTTTAGAAGTGACACCCCTTTAAACATGATTTGTAACATGATAAATTAAGAGCTGCTTTTTTTTTGTAAAAGTAGTTTATATCTAATAGTTGGTAGTTGGTAGCTGATAACTTATAGTTTATAATTGATGGTTGGTAGTTGATAAATTAATTTGAGTGTTTGCTAAATTAGTTGTTACACTAGTTGATAATTACAAAATAGCCTAAAAGGATATTCTTAATTTGTAAGAGTTTATTTTTAAAAATAAAAAACCCTAAATCTTAACCTGGGGCAGGGTAGTTGTCAATTAATTTGACTGTGCGTTCAAAATTCAAAAAGAGAAAAAAGAAGAGTGTTTCATTCGAGGATCAATCTCAACTTGTCCCTCACAAGAGGTCGTACCTCACCAATCAACAGTGGTTGTCTCGCACGATTAAAAGAAACGAGGCAGTCACAGTCTTTACAAGTTAAACGAACAAGTGTCACACGATTTGTTCCAAAAAGAAAAGAAGAATAAAAAAAAGAAAAAGAAAGAAATCCTCTTAAGTCAATAACTTGAAAACAAGTAACTTAGGAAAAAGTTAAGGCATCCCGTTGGACATCAAAATCAACACAAAAAAAAGTCGGTACAAGTAAAAATTAGGGGGAAAAAAGCAAAATAATGAAAAAGCTAAAAGCGAAAAGGATTATAAAAGAAAAATCCTCGATAAAGAACAAAGTCGTGTGACTACAAACACCAAAGACAAAAGGGATGATTGTCTCTCTGAAAACCATGTGGGTTCCTTAACCATCACTTCTACCATTCAACAGCTTTTTGAAAGGTGAGCGCTTGTGCCAAATTAGTTGAATGCATGACCGGAGAACACCAATGCGAATGGGTGGGTTTAAACAAAACTTTGAGCCATAAATCCTTTTTCTCAAACCGTGAACCAGGTCACATTACAACCCTCAAAAGACCTAATTGAAACAGGGTTATTTCGAAAGCATACTTTGATAAGATCACCTCAAAGCTGACTCCTAAAAAGATTTGCTTATCATTCATGTTGGTATCGATGTGATATTCTGATCAGTGATTCATTCACTGTATGTCACAACATCATTCTAGTGAATAGACTTGGATTTCAAAACTTTCATATGCATTGCATTAAAATCATCATTTTCAAAATGATCAGTTTTATTTGCGGGTAAGCACTTGATATTAAGAGAGTTTCCACAATGGAAGGATTGACCAAACTAAGATGCAAAGCGCTTGAAGACTCCATTGAGCATAAGGGCAAGTCACTCCAAAATTTAGTCAATCTGGAACAATCACGTCAATATTCAACAAAATTCTCATATATCAGTCAGTCAGGGGGAAAATCATTTCAAGACTTTGTTGAGCAAAAGATTTAGTCAAATTGGGGCAGGTCACCCCAAGAGCACGATAAGTTAATCTTGTCCAGAAAGCGATTAATCAGAAGCACCTCTCCAAGGTTTAGAAGACTGGGGCAGTCAATCTCAAACCATCATGGTACAGATGTCATAGGCTTTCTTTTGAGGCAGATTCCTTCAGATATCCCGTATACTAGGGCAAGGTTGGCCATATAAGAGTATTGTTCCCGCATCTTCAGAGTTACTCAAGCAAGTTATATCAAGCGCCAAGTTCAAGACGAATGTCGGGAAGTCACGTTAAGCACATCCCACAATCTTTCAACAATAAATCTTGTAGTCAAGCAAGACACTTTCCAGCTTCAACGTACATAGCCTACCTAAAAACCATCAATCGAGCCATTGAGTCATTACATTAATCATTATTATGCATTGGTCATGTCGCTTCGCTAATGCATATCATTTGTCTAGCATAACATAGCATGAAGCCTTGCGAAAACGAATGAGAAAATCCAATGTCTAACCATACTTGGCACCACAACTGAAGTCCAATTTCTATTGGCACCACAACCAAAAGCTCAATCCATATTGGCAACCACCAAAAGTCAACTTTGCTGATATCTTCATAATCTCAAAACCCAAGCCATATTGGTACCCAAAAAAACCCTCACCTTCGAAAAAGTATAGCAATCTAAAAAACAATCACCATCAAGTTTAACTTATCCTTCTCAGCAAAATCCAATCATATTTGGCACATCCTTCTCTCCTCAACAGCCCGAGCATACATCGGCATTCTGCATATAGTAATCATCATTACATTGCATCCTCAAAATACGTAGCATATCCATTCGATATGAAATCTTACGCCATAGAAAAAATCAAACATGTATACGAAACATGAGCCATTTTTTGTACATTACACGAAGGCCCAAATCAACTCTCAATCGGGACAATGACGTATCCCTAGAAAGAATGTTGAGCCTATTCCCTAACAAACATTTTAATCAATCCCAGGGTCATAGATTTGTCGATCTTAACCTTTGTTTCCCCCAATGGAGTCATCTTTCTGTTTACATTTTCTCGGGGTAGTAGATATGTTGATCTTACTCCCATTTCCCCAACTTTTATGTTGTAAACCCGTTGGTCTTACTTCTCTTCATCCTTTTGGGTTGTAGGTTTGTTGATCTTACTTCATTTCCATAAATCCATTGATTTTTTCTTTGGAGTTATATATCCGTTAATGTTACTTATCTCCATCTTTTAGGTTGTAGATTCGTTGATCTTTTATTTGGAGTTGTAGATCCGTTGATCTTGCTTCTCTCCACCTTTTAGGTCGTAGATCCATTGATCTTACTTCCTTTCATAGATCTGTTGATCTTTTCTTTGGAGTTATAGATCTGTTGATCTTACTTCTCTCCATCGTTTGGGTTGTAGGCCTATTAATCTTACTTCCTTTCCTTAAATCCATTGATCTTTTCTTTTGAGTCATAAATTCGTTGATTTTACTTCTCCCCATCTTTTGGGCCGTAGATTCGTTGATCTTATTTCCTTTCCATAGATCAATTGATTTTTTCTTTTGAGTTGCAGATCCATTGGTCTTACTTCTCTCCATCTTTTGGGTCGTAGATCCGTTGATATTACTTCCTTTCCATAAATAATTTTATATTTTCTTTTAAGTTGTAGATATGTTGATCTTATTCCTTTCTATCTTTTTGGTCATAGATATGTTGATCTTACTTCCTATTCATAGATCCGTCAATCTTTTCTTTGGAGTCATAAATCTGTTGATTTTACTTCTCCCCACCTTTTGGGTTGTAAATCCGTTGATTTTGCTTCCTATTTATAGATCCATTGATATTTCCTTTTGAGTTGTATATCCGTTGATCTTACTTCTCTCCATAATTTGGATTATAGATTCGTTGATCTTACTTTCTATTCATAGATCTGTCGATCGTAAATCCCTTGGTTTTACTTCTCTCCGCCTTTTGGATTATAGATCAATTGATCTTACTTCCTATTGTAGATTCGTTGGTTCTTTATTTGGAATTGTGGATCTGTTGATCTTACTTCTTTATACCTTTCAGGTTGTAGGTCTATTGATCTTACTTCTTTTCCTTTGTCTATTGGGTTGCAAACTTGTTGACTTTACTTCCTATTTGCAAATCTATTGACCTTGTTTCTATTTTCCAAATGTTTGGTTATAGATTCGTTGATCGTAAATCCCTTGGTTTTACTTCTCTCCACCTTTTGGATTATAGATCAATTGATCTTACTTCCTATTATAGATTCGTTGGTTCTTTATTTGCAGTTGTGGATCCGTTGATCTTACTTATTTATACCTTTCAGGTTATAGGTCTGTTGATCTTACTTCCTTTCCTTTGTCTATTAGGTTGTAAACTTGTTGACTTTACTTCCTATTTTCAAATCTATTGATCTTATTTCTATTTTCCAAATGTTTGGTTGTAAATTCGTCGATCTTGTTTCCTATTTACTATCCGTTGGGTCGTAGATTCGTTGATCCTACTTTCTGTTTCCTATCTTTTGGTTTGTAGATCCATCAATCTCATTACCTTGGTATTTCCCTTTGAGTTATAGATTTGTCGATCTTACCTCTCTTTATCTTCCTTTGGGTTATAGATTTGTTGATCTTGCCTTTCTTCTATATTAACTTTCATTGTTACCATTACTTTATTACCAGATCACCATTGTTTAACTATACCCACTTATTGAAAACCTTTTCACTAGAAAACAAAAAAGCTATTACATCACTATATCTTTCTTTCATCCCCATAGTGCAAATTTTATGGTTCTTTCGGTATTCAATCTCTTTCTACCTCAAATGTTCGAAAGTCGTTGCT